CTTAAAAAGTGCCGCTTCGTCGCGCGAGAGCTCTTCATTTTAGGGCATATCGTGTACAAGCATGGTGTTCTACCCAACCCTGCAAAACTGCGAGCAGTCGCTGAGCTCCTGAAACCTACTACACTGAAAGAATTACGCAGTTTCGTCGGACTATGCTCGTACTTTCGTCACTTCGTCCGAATTTTTGCGTCGATCATGTCACCACTGACCAACCTCCTACGCGGTGACGCAGAGCTTTCATCCTGGTCTCCTGACTGCGACGTCACGTTTGCCACGCTCTGTAGTCTGCTAACATCTCCTCCCATTCTTTGGCATTTCGACCCAACAGCTGCAATGGAAGTTTACACACACACTAGCGGGGTTGGTCTTGGCGCTGTCCTCGCCCAACGCAACCCGAGCTACTCCGAATACGTCGTCGCATATGCGAGTCGCACGCTCACTAAAGCTGAGGCCAATTACAGCATCACTGAAAAGGAGTGCTTAGCGCTAGTGTGGGCGCTTTGCAAGTTCCCCCCTTATTTGTACAGTCGCCCATTCGACCTGGTAACGAACCACCATGCACTTTTTTGGCTCGCCACATTGAAAGATCCTTCTGGCCACCTAGCTCGGTGGGCACTGTAAATCCAGGAGTGCAACATTCGTGTCATCTATCACAGCGAACGCAAGCATTCTGATGCCGACGTCCTGTCCCGTTCGCCTTTACCTCCCAACTCGGCCTGCGGAACCACTGGTACAAACTCCGTTGCATCTCCCGACTCCTTTGCCAGTGAACAACACAAGGACCCATTGATCGCTTCCTTTTTTGACTGTTTCTTTGGATTGTCAACCACTGCGGTATCACGATCTCTCTGACGTCAAGCTGCTCGATTCACCATTCGTGATCGGTTGCTTCACCGTCGCAACTACGCCCCTGAAGGTCATAAGTGGCTCTTGGTTGTCCCCCGCAGCTTGCGATCACAAATATTCGCCTCCTTTCACGACGATCTCCAACATTGCCATGCCGGAGTTTTCAAAACTTACGAACGCATTTGCCATCGCTTCTACTGGCACGGAATGTATAATTTTGTTCAAAAATTCGTTATGGGCTACCCTGACTGTCAACACCGCAAATCACCGCCTCTCCACTCGTCCGGTGCGCTTCAACCGCTTCCGTGCCCTGCCAAACCTTTCAATCAGATCGGAATTGATCTTTATGACCCTCTACCGACATCAGATGAAAATCGGTGGATCATAGCTGTGAACCATTTAATACGCTACGCTGAGACTGCCGCCCTTCCAAGTGCCACTGCACGGGACGTAGCGTCCTTCGTCCTCCATCGCTTCATGCTAAGACATGGTGCACCTCGAAAACTACCAAGTGACCGAGTTCGAGCATTCCTATCAGAAGTCGTCACGGCTCTGCTTTCTAAATGCCATGTTGTTCATTCACAAGACCACGGCATACCACCCGCAGACTAACGGGCTCATGGAGAGATTTAACCGCACCCTTGGCGATATGCTTGCGATATATGTGACATCTGATCATACTAACTAGGATCGCATTCGTCCCTTCATCACGTTCGCATACAACACCCCGGCACAGTCTACCCCTGGATTTTCACCCTTTTTTTTTCTTTATGAACGCGAACCATCCCACACCATCGACACTCTCCTTCCATACCGTCCTGACGCATCCGAATGCTGATCTGTGTCTGAAGCTACCTGAAAAGCGGAAGAGTGCCGTGAACTCGCACGCACCTTTACGTCACAAGAACAGCAGCGCCAAAAAGAAAACAATGCCGACTCTTCACGAAGCCACAGCTATTCCCCAGGATCACTTGTAAGGCTGACTGTTCCTTACCAAACCCCCGCCCTTTCCTCAAAACTCGTCCAGAAGTACAAGGGCCCTTACCTTGTCTCAGAGCAAACCTCGCCAATGAATTTTCTCATTGAACCACTTTCCCCATCTGATGACATGCGCCGGCGTGGACCTGACATCGTCCACGTCGCCCACCTTAAGCCTTATCATAATCCTGTGTCTCCAGACTCTTAGGTCGCCAGGATAGCTCTTTTTCAGCGGGGGAAAATTGTGAAGGAGAAAACGCATCGTTGACAAGCAACATCGCCACCATTTGGGTACTAGGTTCTGGGCTTCTCTCGCTCGCCTCGTGCTGATCGTCCCCGGCATCTGCTTGACCGTTGCTCTGTCTCGATCGTGTTTTCATCGTAAGGTCACCGTCGCAGCACATGCCAATAAACCCCGGTTCATTGTGAACGATTCAGCCGCAGTTGCAGGAAGCGTCTATTTGCCTCAAGTACAACGTGCTATGTAGCATGTTGAGGTCACAGTCAACATAGTAGAGCACTTTCATGCTGTTGAACATTACGATCACGGTAGTCGTTTCTTTTATGCACCTGACTCTGAGCTTCTCGGTGTGACAAAAAAGACTTAGTAGCGCATTTTTGGGCAAATCGACATCGATGCCTCTGACCACACCTCCATAGGTGTTTCCCGGAGGTGTAGTGTAAGCCACCATAGGGTGCCTTTTATCTTCCATGATTATGTGCTGCACTTTGCAGTATGCATTAACATTCGATTCGGAGGGTGTGCTTATAAATGAAGCACACCCTCCAAACCGAATGGCATTCACACATACGAAATCCTCTTCCCCTGCCACCGGAGGCAGCCTAGCAGCCACTAAAACGGTTTGCGTGACTTTTATTTGACACTGCAAGTTCACACGTCCAGCCCTCACCCCACGGGGCAGACGACCCCTCCAAATTGGGATATGGGCGGGCGCGGTAGACTGGAAATTAAGGCAACCTTCCTCAGCTGGCTGGCTTTTGTGAGGCTATGTGGGTTACACTTTGCTTAGACGTGCAGCTCTCATTCCCGACGCGGGTTTTATCCACACTGCACGTTTTGCGAGCAGTAATCCAGCTGTTGCACTCGGCTTTCTTTAAGGGGCGAAGCTCCTTAAGGCGTGGGCTGTGCGCCCCCTGTATGTAGCCACCTCTCGTTTAGTTCTTGCAGTGTTCACTAGATGGCGGTACCATCCTCTGTATGTAGCCACCTTTCATTTAGTTCTTGCAGTGTTCACTAGATGGCGGTACTTGTCACTGATGATGAAAAGATGCAAGATGTTATAAACTAGACGGCGGTACTTGTAGTTGATGATGGAAGATGCGAGATGTTATAAAATAGGAATGATGTCACATATGACGTGTGTCATTGGTGGAAGGCAATCGTTCGATTTAGTGCGGCGACGTAAGCTAGGAGGAGCGTTGTAATAAAATCGAGTGGGCAAAATGTACGAAGGATTCATGGTAACCAGGTTTACCTCCGAAGCTTCGCCCACTCATCATCATTCATTTCGTGGATATGGCGACACTTTTTTTAGAAATTTGCTGTCCTTCTACCGTAGCCTCATGAGACATGGCCTCATTGGGGGTCAGCCTACTGAGGGGCTGCACGTTCCGCCTTTTCACGCTGCGGCACCCGATGTCGTGTATAAGCCCAAATAGGCTCAACCGTTGATGTCAGAGAAAGGAAGAAAGGACCCACTAAAGAGGTTTCAGTGGACCTACCGAGAAAAATGGGGTATCCAGGTGCTCCTTGAAACTTCGCGAGTCGCTCCAGTAGAAATCTCGGAGGGAAAGCACATTGGACTCAGTTGGTCAACGTCGGTTGACGAAGTCAATGACAGTGTGGCGTGCAGACACGTCTGCACGCCACACCGCCACCCAGCGTCTCCATAAAGAAGCTGTTTACTGAGAATGAAAGTGAGCTGGAATTGACTGGAAATTGGCATTTCATAGAATTACTTCATACAGCCAGGGCCAACTATGAACCGATAAGCTATTCTCTGCCTTTAGCGTAGCATCACTTGTGCAAGCTGAGCCCAGCTTTTTAGGGGCGAAGCTCCTTATGGCGTGGCTTGTGCGTCCCTCGTAGTACGTAACCACCAGTGGCACATACCTGAAATAGGTATAACATTTGACCTCCAAGGTGGTGCCGGTGAGAGATTTCTTCTGTGAGTTGTTTAACAATAAAAAATAGTGCTCAATGTACATGCCAATGGCTGTTAATGGGGAATGAGAGACAGGAGCATTCCTCTTTTAGTCCACGCACGCTGCAATCCCCATTAGCAGCCATTGGCATGTACATTGAGCACTATCGGACAAGAAAGGGTTGCTACATTATACTCGCTGGGTGTAACCTCCTTAGTTTTAGAAAGGTTTAGCGAGCGTTGAGCTGCAGGGCCATGAATACAATGAACTGGTATATACCATGAATGAATTCGAGGTGGTTAAAGGGGGGAAGTAGATACGAAGTGCAAGCCGTAAGAAATTAAAAGCTGAATCCTCCTGTCTCTCATTTCACATTAGCAGCCACTGGCATGTACATTGAGCACTAGCTGACAGGAAAAGGTTGCTACGTTATACTCGCTGGACGTAACCTCCTTGGTTTTAGAAAGGTTTAGGGAGCATTGGACCGCAGTGCCATGAATACAGTGAACTAGTATATACTATGAACTCAAGGTGGTGGAAGGTGGGAAGTAGACCCGAAGCACAAGCCTTAAGAAAGTGTGCGTGTGCCACCTCTCGTTTAATCCTTGGAATGTCCACTGAATGGCGGTGCTTCTATATGGGGAATATATGATAAAAAGATGCGAGATGGTGGGACTTGGAGTGTTGAATAGATGAACGAACAGACACACAGACAGATGCATGGATGGACGCATGAACGGACGCAGGGGCGGATGCATAAACGAACGCAGGGACGGGCGCACGAACAGACGCATGGACGGTCACACAGACGGAAGCATGGACTGACGAATGCTTCCCCCCACTCTCCATCATTCAGTCCGTGGATATGCTGCCATTTTTTCTTAATAGCTGTGTTTGTACTGTGTGTAAATGTGTAGAAAATGTTTCTTTAGCTATCTATGCCTCATCCATGCCTTATTATGCTCCAGAGCATGTGTGTGCCTTGAAGTAATGAAATTAATAAGACTGACCTGAGTGTAGAGACGAAGCAGCAGGCCCTTCTGATGCAGGAGCCGCAAGAAGCAGTGGCTCAGCGTAGGCTGCACAACAAAGGTTAGTAGAGGTCAGTGCAGACGCCTACAGGTTTTATACAGCTGAAGCACAATCGCGGGTTGGGCAAGTTGGTGGAAGTTCATCGTAGAATATTTTACAGCACAACGGGTTACATATGGGCAAATCTGTCCTCCTTTGTCCGTATCTAACCCGTTGCTCTGTAAAATATTTTACGATGTTTATCCTGTTGCTGTGGCACTAGATGATACACATGAAAATAACCTGTAAATGTGAGGTGCACGTGAGATGTCTACCTTGAGTTTATGTTTATTTACTTCTCTAAATTTGATAAATCGCAGTGCTATTCAGCTGTGCATATGTCCATACCGTGTGACTGCTGCTGACATGATAGGCTGTAGGCTAGGAATGCACTTGAAGTACTTATCATGCAGCCCATGCTTGCAGAGAATGACATGAGTGCTCTCATCTGTTCCAGGCATCTTCTACAAGCAGTGGTAGTCAGTAGGATGTGTTTGCACGCTTTGTCTTTTAGAATGAATACTTACCAACTCGCTCAGGTCTGTGTTATTCTAAGTAGTCAGTAGGCTTGTTTGAATGTTCAGTGAAATTTAACACACTTGTTGACATGCACGCTTGCCTTTGAGTCTTTTTTTCATTTGGTGCCCTTAGACGCCGAAGCACGGTTTTCTCACATCGATATTGGTGCTGACGATACGAGAATCAAGCCTACAATGAGTTAGACTTTGAAAACTGGGTGAGCTGCACTTTGAGCTAGACCATCATGGAGCAGGCAAAGAATAAGCAGGCCTCACAGCGAACCATGAATATGAAAAGTCATCAAAGAGGTCAACCAGCTGCTTCAGTCCAACGATTTCGAGCTTTCTAAACTTCGAATTATGCATTGTCGCCTTTGCCCCAGCAACGTTGAACATAAAGCCTTGAACAACGATGTTGAAGCCCTAATGACTGATGACATGGCGACAGACGACTATGATGTGGCCACGCAATATTACGACGCCGAGAACAGTACCCTGGAATTCCTCGAGCACTATATCGACATTCTGAAGACCTCTGCTACATCGGCATCATCTACAACTTCAGCCATGGGTGCTGGGTCTGACGAAACTGCATCTAGCGAACATGAACATCTTTCACGTGACATCTGAGCACAATTTACTGAGTTCAAGGTTCTTCGTTTCGATAGAGCTGTGACTAAGTGGTAACCCTTTCGAGAGATGTTTTTGCACACTGCGCACAAGAACTCAAGGCTCTCCAATAGGAGCAGTTTCACTACTTTGTCTCACTACTGGATGGGCCTACAAGAAGAAGCTTTTGTGATGGTTTGGAGCATTGGACAGCCCACTTTTTACGCTATTTGCATTGTGCGACGACTGGTTGATCTTTTCCTGTGGTAAAACGCTTTATAAGTCGTATTAACGCGACTGCTTTCCATCATCAAGTCTGCCTAAGGCAAGTTAGACAACAAGTCACAAGCACCGGTGTAGCTCAGTGATAGAATACTGGGCTGGCACCCAGTGGACCCGGGTTCAAGCCCCACTGTGCCATTGGTGCTAGGCCATGCCTGCTTAAGACAAATTTGACAAGTTACAAGCACCAGTGTAACTCAGTGGTAGAATTTTCAGCGGACCCAGGTTCAAGCCCCACTGTGTCATTTGTGCGAGTTTTTTTTTTTTTCTAATTTCGCATGATGTGGTAACAGACACTCAGCGTACCCGGGTTCAAGCCCCACCGTGTCATTTGTGCGAGTTTTTTTTTTTTCTAATTTCGCATGATGTGGTTACAGACACCGGCGGCTGTGGACAAGAACAACTGCGCATGACCAGAAAAGTGATCTCATAACAGCTTTTGCTGTAAAAAAGCTTTACTTCAATCATGTTGCTGCAAAGTCAAACTAGCATAAATGACTGTAACTAGTATGTCATGAATTCTAAATAGTTTTTTTTTAGAAATGAGACAACCCACAGCAATCCTAAATACAAAGTTCCAAGCATATTCCAACATTCTTGCAACATATCTCTATCACTTCCGCCCCGTTACCTTAGAAATTGTGAGAATTTTTGCCAATGTCACTACATCTGGTGGATCTGGCGCTGCAATGAATGCCAGATGCTTACAGGCTGTATTTCTACAGCTTTCGCAGGCGGTGACTGCCTTGAATCTCACCTGTAACACATTGTGCATTTTTGCTGATGACATCAGCTATGCTTATAGAACATGCCCGGCTTTCATCGATGCCTGGTTTCACCAAGTGCCACTGGATTTATCTGCGCTGCTAGCTATCAACGACCAAGTTTTCTGGCAACCACCCCCATCGGAAGATGAAAAACCACTTAACTCTTTCGGTACCGCCTGAAATTGGTTGTTTTTCATATGTCTTGAAAAATTCATTTTTGCCAGCTTGAAAAGCACTCCAGCACACATCACAGCATACCAAACTTCGCACAATAAAATGCTCTTTCCTAAAAATATGTGTTTTAGAGCAATGAAAATATTTTAGAATGAATGAAAATGTGGAAAGAGTTGAATTTTCGGTTGTCAGATGATAAACAGTGCAATAAAAAAGTATATGTCCAAAAATACTCAAAACAAAGAATTCAGGATATACAATTTGTAGATAAAGGACCCATAAACTGTATAAAAAATAATTATTGTTGCACAATATGTTTCTCTTCACATAGACAAGGAAAATCAGAACTGAGGAGCTGCTTTGTTACTCGTGCCATGAGATGAAGTATCGCATGGTTTTTCGTGAGACAAAAGTGTACTTATACACTTTTCTCAGTAAATTTTTGTTGTCTTGTAATTAGAGTGAGGGAGTGCGTTACCACCACTGGTAACGCACTCCCTCACCAGAGAAAGATTGGCCACCCTGGTGCAGTATCTGGCCACTACCTCCCACATGCATACGTCAATTAAATCACGGCCCTCAGTCCCCAGCAGCTGCGAAGCAACTGACCACGGCGGCGGTCAGATCTGCAACACAGCAGAGGGTGCTAAGAATCTCTGGATCCAAACAGGCCACTATTGTAACCTTAACTTGGCAACGTTTAACGCTAGAACCTTATCTAGTGAGGCAAGTCTAGCTGTACTATTCGAGGAGCTAGAGGGTGTTAAATGGGATATAATAGGGCTCAGTGAGGTTAGGAGGACAGATGAGGTCTATATGTTGCTTCAGTATGGGCACGTCCTTTGCTACTGGAGCTTGGCTGACAGAAGAGAACTTGGAGTGGGGTTCCTAATTAACAGAAACATAGCTGGCAACATGGAGGAATACTACAGCATTAATGTAAGGGTGGTAGGTACCGTAATTAAACTCAATAAGAGATACAAGATGAAGGTGGTACAGGCTTACGCGCCTACATACAGCCTTGATGACGCTTCAGTTGAAAGCTTCTATGAAGACGTGGAATCGGCAATGAGTAAGGTAAAAACATAGTATACAATACTGATGGGAGACTTTAATGCAAAGGTAGGGAAGAAGCAGGCTGGAGACGAGGCAGTAGGAGATTATGGTATCGTTACTAGGAACCCCAAAGAGGAGGTACTAGTAGAATTCGCAGAACGCAATAATTTACGGATTTCTAATACCTTCAGCAAAGTGTGCGCCACGCAAATAACCATGCAGAGTAGCTATAAAAGAAGAATAGCTATAAAGATCAGAAGCTACATGCGCTTTCGGCAGAGGAAACAACTTGGGGATGTAAACAAAATAAACCCATGAATGACTGCGAATGGCTGACGCAAAACATTGTTGCCATAAAACTTGAAGCTGAGGTGCACTCATCCTCAACCTCTAAGCCCGTCCTAGCTCAATTCAGGTGGGGTTGCAAGACAGTTTTGAGCAGCGCATGTGTTCTGCGGCGCTGGTGCGCATTCATGCGCGTGTGACGACGATGTCATAGGAGCGACTAGTGACACTAGATGCTACAATGCGTCTGATATAACAATACAAGCAAAACGAAAGCTGCTGAAAACTGGCAGAAGAGGCCACCTTGACACTTTAAACACTCGGTAGACCTTCGTAAATATTTTTCGCAGAAAAAAGTTTCTTCGACTCTTGGGAACACCTTTCTATTGAATAGCTGGCATAAATTTCTCGCAATTATTACTGCTTAACATTTTCAAATGGTGAAGCTGACACTTTTATTGAATATTTGGCTTGCAATGATTCTTTTCATTACAGAACTTCGATGTTAGTCTAACATAATCACGAGGGGCAAGTAATTCTGTCAAGTGCACCATGCTAGTGCACGTTTCTGACAACACACGCACCTTGGTCCGCGCAAAGGTCTGTCAAAAGTCACTATGCTGCCAAAATAGGTGAATTCAAATTGATTCTGAATATTGAGTGGCTGGACTAACTACTAGAAAGTACTGTGTGCACAAGAAATGAATTTAATATGCCAAAATCGACGATCCAAAAGCGTTGATCACTGGCAATCGATTTGAGTAGGCGTGGTAGAGAAAGAGTTAAGCAGCTCCCCAGAATAGCCACTTCGAGATCTGGCGTCGCCATGAATGCCCGACGCTTACACGCTGTATTTCTACAGGTTGGTTATTCCTATCATAATCTATGCGGTAAACTGATAGGAAAACTAGCGTCAGATCCCACTGTGCACATGTATACATTTGCACTTGATTTGCTCATTTCTCTTTCGTATTATTGTCAAGATACCGCTGTTATAGTTAAGATGAGTCTACTTCTCTGTGACGATGTCGAAGAAAACCCTGGGCCTCTTTCGGCTGACCAGGAGCAGATGTTTGAGGCTATGATGCAGATACCCTTATTGGTTCAAACCCAGGCGAACATACTAAACAAAATTCGCTCACTTTGGTCAAACCATCAGGCAATTGAGTTGAAGCTGACTGACATATAAAAAAAAGGCATGTTTATCATGACCTAACTAACCTACACAATATTTCTTTTGAATCGAAATGGGGGCTCTATACAATCGCCATTTTTTTTTTGCGTTCAAAGGAAGTCGAAACAACCTTGAGTAGTAGT